CAGGCAGCCCAGGAAAGCGCAGGAGTGTTAAAATAGACCACACCTACCCAACAAGCAATTCCTGCCCCAAAACCATGCTGCCTTCCAGCACTACAGCCTGAGTTATGTCTAAGAAGGGATGAGGGTAATGCCAAGAAGTGGTGTACCACTTGGTGGACCAAGAAATGGGCAGAGGGCACCGCTTTCCTTTCTTGATTCACATATTCCTCTCAGGGAGGGCTTAGTGACTTTATGCCAGGCAAAAACGTCAACAGGGAAGAAAAAGAGAGCTTAATTGTCAGACGTTCACCCAACACTAAAATCCTTCAGCTTTAGGTCCTTCCCAGTTCAGGGGCTTGAACTTGCATCGTCCACGTCCTGAGGTTAGTACTTCAGCCACGGTAGCAGTGGATGGTCTGAGATGAAAGGCATGGATATTTCTGTGTTTTGTTGCCTAAAAAAAGACTTGAGCTCACTTTGCTGCCTCTTCTTCTGTAGGACTCTTACTTTCATGCCTAGCTGCCTGTTTCTGTGAAGCTTGGAGAAAGTCATTTGCTTAGATGAGGACAAAAGCATGTTTTTCACCAAGATCTGATTCCTTTTGCCAAATGCCCACAATAAACAGAGCTAAGTGCTTTCTGTGCATGCACAAACACAAGCAAATTGTTAATCCATTTAGGCTCATAAAATAATCAACCTCACGCTTAAAAAAACTCACCACCACCAACAAAACCCAAAAATCAGGAATGCTTGGCCATTTTTCCTGGAGTTTATTGCAGCTACTTGCATTTTTTTCAGTAGCTTAATTATTACTCATTTTTATAGCTCTCAGGAGCACATCTTGTACTTTGCATAGAAAAACACATAAATAGATGCAAGAGAATCACAACTGAATAACAGAGATGACCCAACGAGCAGATGCAAAAGGCAGAAAGCAGACGCCCTTGCGGCGGGCAGGGAGAGCGCAGCTAGTGAGCACAGCGTCCCCCTGGGGCAGCTGGCCCCACCAGGGCTGCTCGAGGCTCGCAAGGGGATTGGGGCATTTTGTTTCTGTCCATCTGAGCATCCAAAGACCAGCATCAGGAGTCTCAGCCTAGATATTACACTGAGGCAGAGAGCGCTTTCAGAAATCCTGCCTGTAGGGTGGAAATTCATTCTGCTCCCGAGGAAGTCAGTGGTTAGCTCCTGTTGGCGTCAATGAGAATAACATTAGGCTAATATTGAAGGGGGGAAAAAAAACACTCTACCGATATTGGAGACTATGGTTTTATACATAAAAGTGCTTTTTTTTGCCAGTGTATTTTATGACTGCTCTGGTTGATACAGGTGATTTTAGCACTAAGATCACTCACCACAAATCAGCAACCAATTTAATTGTGAATATGATTTCTCTTTAGGAAATTAACTTGTTTAAAAGTACTAAACAGTCCTGGCTCCATTATTTTCTTAACCTTCTCTGTGCCCTTGAGCGTTCACAGTTCATGCTAGAAAACGGTATTTTTAATTGCTTGTGGACATATGTTATACAACCTTGCAGAAGAATGCTGGAAATGATCATCTATGAAGAGCATGGGGCTTCCATCTGGCACCGTTTTGATTCAAGACTGACAAAAATATTTAGCAGAATTACATCGAAAATGCTGAGATCACTAATGGCCCGAATGGTAAGTTCTTGACGGGGGGAAGGGAAGAAGGGAGGGAATAACGAAATTAAAAGAACAAAAAACCAGAAAGACTCAAGCCATCTGCAAAGGAACATTTCAAGCAGAAAAAGGGAGACTTGCATTTTTCTGTGGTGCTCTGAATGTACAGGCTCCTGCTGCAGGGAGCCACCCAAATCTTTTCTTTGAGTTTCATTCACAGGAGGTGGGGAAGTCACAAATGCCAAAGGAAGACAGGCTGTAATTAAAAGCAAGAAATATGCCATTTTGGTCCCAGAAAATTCAGTAGCTGAGAACCCTATCAGAAATCTTTGCTTCCTTCTGAGCTTGTGCTAAATGCAAACTGTGAGCTTTGCATCCATTTGATATCAAACTGTAATCTGTGCCAGTTTAGTGGAAAAATGTAAAGAAAGATATCATGCGGGAAATTATCACATGATCCTAATACCCAGAGATGACCGCTTGCACAGTCTAGGACAACCAAAACCAAAACCAAGCAAATATGGGCGGATGCTATTTAAGTCTCCTGGTTGGATGTTTTACCCAGAACCTCTGATTAAAAACAGAGATGAAACTGTGCAAAAGTTTTCATGACTCTCCCTGTCACCATCTTGCTCTCTTCCAGCCAGCTGCACTTTTATATGCACACACTCAAGGGAAATAGGTGTAACCGGCTACATTTCTCACATAACAGAGAAACTGGTATGCAAGGAATAATTTATCATAGTGAAAGAGTGAATAGTGAAATCCAGTGCTGAGGCTGCACCGTGAAACTGGTGCAGACCACAGCCTTCCAAGCGTCTGCCAAACCGGCAAGACCTTGTGCCATATCTCGGGATATTTATTGCTGAGAAAGCTATCTCAGGTTTATTTCCTTTAAAAGAAATGATCTGCTTTCCTGGAACTCCAAAAAGCCTATTAGGGCCTATTACATCCACTTCACCTCTGACTGAAGTGATGAGATGTTTTTCTTTGACTTAAAGGGGTTGTTATTGACTTAAGACCACAGATCCATTGGTATATATTGCACAAATTAGAACTAACGGAGGGAAATATGAGAGGAGGAGGTCGTTCCAGGCTCAAAACATAAGGCAAAGCAAGCCTGTGCCGTGGCTTGCCAATAGGAAGACCAGTACCTTTCCTTGGACCAGTACCTTTCCATGGAAGAGCCTGTGCCGTTTGCCCCCATCGGACCATCCAGTAACCTCTGCTGCAAGGTGCTAGGAAAGAGAGGGGGGGGTCTTTGCCCTGTGCCTTAGCTGTGTATTTTATTTCCAGCCTTTCTCCATCTTGTGCTCGGGAGACATTTGTCCTCTGCCCCGTTTGTGCACCATGCGTTCCTTGTTTCCTAGGCAGAGGCTCAGCAGTGAGATGCAACTGCACTAACGCAGAAAATAAGTCAAATCAACAGTAAATGTGGGGAAATTCGGCTGAGGCTCCCCCTGCCTGCCGCGTGCCGACTGGGGGAATAAGCCTCAGCTGGCCACTATCCCCCTTCCCAAAGTTGCTCTGCAGGGGGCCCCCCGGGCTCCTGTACCCTGACTTTGCTCTGCCCAGAAACACTGGCAGCGTCTGCACCCGCCTGTGTCTCTATCCTTTGGCTTATCTGCTCTCCAAAACACGCAGGTGATTTTCAGTGAAAACACTAAACAAGCCAACTTCTTTGGCTTTGTGTTTCCCTGCCAAGGCCCGGTGCCCCCCTATCCCCAGACAGACTTGCCTGCATTCTTGACAAACACATTTTTCGGTGTTTGGGGAACACGCAACACCCTTTGCAAGCCCAATTCCTGCCAGAACAAATCCTGTTAGCATCATTTCCTTCAGCGGGATTTCTAGGAATGATGCAGAAAAGTATTTAGAGGGTTCGTTTTTGATGCTACTTTATTCACAGACCCTCCCAGGACCTTTGCAGAAGCCGCTATCTTATCATAGCTGGATGCATGCAGCTGGGAAGTGGGTCACTATCTCCTCAGCACCGAGAGTAAAACATGTTGAGAGTTGAATAGCCAACAGCTTCACAACTTCGCAGCACCATTGATAGAGCCACAGCTGCTCTGCCTTGCCAAAAGTCATTTCCACCCTGTTTTTTGCTTCAGAACATCCTGAGAAAGGTACACCAGCTTTAAATAATATCTTTAAGGGAAACATTCAGTAGTTAAATGCCTCTGCTGTCTACCTCTCAGTGGAGAAAGATGCAAATTTTTGAGTCCAGGCAGCTTCCAAGAATATCAGAACTCTGCCTAGTAGTGTTACTTCCTGAAGAATATCCCCGATTGCTAAGAAATACTTCTATTTCTCTGAGCGATGACAAACTCCATCCAGGGGACGCTTTTCTCTCAAAATAAAATGAATTTATCATTTAGCTCTTAGCCTAGCAGTCGATCCCTACATGCTTAACTTTTCAGCCAACTAAATGTTCTCATTTGCTGATGTGCTCGTGTCAGAAAAATGGGGGGAAAACAATGCAAATCAGGAAAGGCATCCCAGGAGCTGGAGGCTGCCTTGCCGTAGCACCGAGTGTGAGCGTCCAGCAGCCTGCCCGCTAGACCAGCACTGAAGGGGTATTAGTTTAATGACCGTTCAGGCAATTGGGAAGGGGAAAAGGAAAAATGCAAAAAAAAAAAAAACAGTCCTTTTTTGGCACATCCAGAGCTCCACCGCCTGGCACCAAGTTGCTGGCAGACCGCGCTGCCTTCCTTTCGCCACACAGCCAGAGAAATAAAGGCAAGCAATTTTTATTTCAGGGTGCGCAGCACTGGACTTTGTAGAGCTATAGATTTAAATAGACTAAATGTTGATAGATCCAATATATCTCTGGATTGCTCCTCAAGGAGGACAAACGTCTGTGAGACACCTGAATAAATACGCTTCAGAAGGGAAGATATGAGGCTGCGAAGCCTACGCTCTGCACAGAGCATGTTACAGTTAAAGGAAGAAATAAAACCCTCCAAATTGTGTGAGAACAAACTTCTTAATTGGTGAAACCACAGTTGGGAAACATCCCAGGCAGCTGTTCTTGAGCTATCTGGAGAGACGCCAAGTCTTGTACATCAACTTTGAGCTGAGAACAAGTGTGATAAATTTCAGCCAAGAGGGTAATGTTTTTGAGTTATAAGCACCTAAAAATAGGCCAACGTAATGAAATTGCCTCCTCAGCCATAACCGGCGTGTCGCTAGCATAGCTGTGCAATGCACCACGTCCTCCCGAATGCTACCGGCGCCGCGTGTGCCCGCGCTGCGGACTGCCTGCCCTGCCCCTCTCCAGCCCCACCGGTGCCAGGAGGGAGGCTCCTGTTGGTGCTCCTGGGCACAGGGCAGCAGGAGGCATCTGGCTTTCAGTCCAACATCTCCTCTACTCACCTGGTTATCCCACAGGCCAAAAATCACTGCGAGGAGCAGGTCCCGCTCCGTTAGAGACTCAGGGAGACGGACCTGCACCAGCTTCGTTCGGGGTAGCAATGCTTGCAGGCCCCATTACTCATGTTTTCAATGGGATAATGCAGGATGATCATCTCTAAACATCACCCTTTCTGGGCACACAGAAAGCTCAGTGTTAATCTCATAACTTTTGCAAGGAAATCTTTTTAATCAGTAACGAAAGGCAAACATTAGCTAGCCTTTATTGACCTGCAATAATAGAACAGCACTGCTCCGCTCCCCCGTGCCTCTTGCACGGGTTCATTTGACTCGAGCTGTGGTTGGTGTTTATTCTTAGCTCACAAAGCTCACAGAGTTTATGTTATTGATTTGCTGTATTTCAGGTCCAGTCCCCCGGTGCCCCTCAACCGGAATGAATGAAGTCAGAAAGAGTTAACACCTTTACTTCCAAGACACAAATGCGATGGTGGTTTATATAATCCACCTGCCAGTTTTTGCTCTGCCAGTGTGCAGCGCATTAACTGGTAGGTGCCAAATGCTGCAGCAATATTGATATTTACAACAGCACAGGTATTCGCAAGCAAGAGCCTGCCCTCAGCTGAGGAAAGA